GAGCATGTTTTGTTGCTGAATGCACAAGGAGCTAGATCTACACAGTAGGCATTGTACTGTCTTGTTTCATCAACCACTTGATCACATTTTGCCATAGGGTAGTTTTTTGCCCCATAAAGGAGGGCAGCAAGTTCACACTTGATCACACTTGTGGATTTTGATATGACCTGTGGATAAGTCGAAAGTATTCTCTCCCTTGCCCCAGTACCTGTTAAAAGAGCTCTGGCTGTGAGGGAAGAGGAGAGCAAGTGGGGGAATGGAGACCGAGAGGCAGAAGCTTTTTCTTTCCCACTCTCATTACGTCCCTGCCTTCCCTCAGCAGCTGCTCCTTTAAGAACCCTGGCTATGGGGGAAAGGTTGGAGGAGGAGAGACATTCACACAGAAAGAGGTGTGCTGGGGAACTCAAAGGGAGAAGCAAGGTCTCTCTGTGTGTGTTCCTGCCTTTGCTTCAGCAGCTGCTCCTTAAAGAGCTGTGGCTATGGGGGAAGGCTGGAGGAGGAGAGACATTCACACATGCCAGCGAACTCAAAGGGAGAAGCAAACTTTTTCTCTCTCACGTGCACTCTCTCTGTCTCTGCCCTTGCCTTAGTAGCTGTTTAAGGATCACTGATTACAATGAAGGTTGAACACTTATTTTAAGACCTTTTTAAGCAGTATTACCATATTGCTCGATATGTAAGTTGACCCAGGATTTTGGAGGACATTTTGGGGCATAAATTTCTTGACTTATAGTCAAGTATATACAGTACATGAGAAACAACTGTTTAGGCTCATTTAGGTTTTGGAGGGAGTTCATCATAATGTTTTTCTTGCTTTCATTTGGAAATAACTGTGGTAGTACTTCTAGGATACAGGAGTTATTTTGGTTGTCTGTCTGTCTGTCAAAAAGAAGATCTGTGAGCATTTCCATCTCATGTGGATTTGTGTTTTCCTAGCTCTAGGGATTTGAATATTGTAGAATACCGATCTGCTGCACTCCAAACATTCCTGTAGATCAGAGGCATTTTCCTCCTATGAATTCTATTGGAATTGCCATGAGGCTAAAAAATACTCCAGAAATTACTCAGTACAAGTTTATTGTTTTAGATAAGAATTAATGTACATTTGATACAAAATTAAGACTTTATTTACTCAGGGCTGTCACTGTTGAGTTAAAAGCTTTTTTTCTGTTAATTGTTTAATTATGTATTCATTATTTTATATGTGTTTCATATGAGCTGCCGTAGAAATATGTGTTAGAAAGCAGTATACAGATTATCCATATTTGGACAGATTTGGAGTTACAACCAGTTATTACAAAGCAACATAGGCTGATGTACAAAGTATTTTTATTACAGTGATTCAAATAAATCAGAAATTATTTTTAGAATTGTAAGCATAACTCTTTAAGCAGCATATCTATTCATTACTTTTTGTATGAGATCCAGAAATAGCAGTTAAATAAGTTATAGAGGCAAATAGTCAGGCCTTAGCATTTTTCACTGGACCTAAGGCTCTAAATGTTAGAATGCATTTCTGAATTTGATGGTAAATCTTTGTGTGATTTGCTGTAGATATCCAAGGATTTTTGCCTCCCTAAGTACCCTAAAGCAGCAAATCCTGACTGAACTTGGAAGCAGAGCAGAGCCAAGCCCTATTTCAGTGATGGCGAACCTTTTAGGGGCTGAGTGCCCAAACTAAAAAGCTTTCCAGCACCAGATGTTACCCGGTACCACAGCAGGACTCCTGCCCTCTGAGGGCAGGACTTCCAGGGCAGGACTTCTTCCCCTTGGCCTACTGGGCTTTCAGCTGCCTTTCTCAAAATAGCAGAAGGCCAGGGGGGAGCGTGAGAGAGGAAGAAAAGGAACAGATACACGCCTCTTCCTCCTCCTCTCCCTGTGCCATCCCCAGCCTTTAGCTGCCTCTGGAAGGAGAAGGAACAGGCACACTCCTCTCCCCCCCCCCCCCCCCGGTGTGCCAGGGAAAATGGCTTTGCCATAGGTTTACCATCATGGCCCTTGTTAATACTACCAATGAATATCATCAGGTGCTATAGGCCAAATTTCAAAGGAAGGAACCGGCAAAACTAAATTTGACTGTTCCTTGCCTAAGAAAGTCATATGAAATTCATGGGGTCTCCATAAGTCAACAGGTGACCTGAAGGCATGTGCATGCACACACACATTTAACAACACAGTATTAAAAAGTGCATTTACTATCACTTTACTATATACTGTGAAAATTAAGATAGCTGTAGTAACTAGGAGTGCATTTTGGGATGGAAAGTTTATTACATCTATTCAGTTAAGGTACCGGGTGAGAAAGCTTTAATTCTAAGTATGTAACCATGGACCAAGCTCTGGTTGTTGGATCTTGGGGTTCAATGAAAGCCAGAATAAATGTGGTATCTGCCCACTCTTACAGAGAGCAAGAAAGGTTATTCTGTAGAATTACATGTGTATGATAGATTAAGTGTAAAAGTTATTGAATATATTTTAATTGTGAGGGAAAATAATAATGGAAGAAATATTATTGTTTAAGATAGTGGGTCTCCATTTCTGAAAACAGAAGGCTTTCTGGAACTTTGCATCTTCATGCAGATATGCATTGGTAAATTTAATCTCATACCTGACCACCTATCAGTAACTGATTTAGGGCCTTTACAGACTGCCAGAAATAATGCAGCTTGAGGCCACTTTAGCTATCCTGGCTCAGTGCTAAGGAATCATGGGAATTGTAGTTTATTGTGGCACCAGAGGTCTCTGATAAAGAAGGCTCAATGTCCCAGAAAAAAAATACATTTCCCATGATTCCTTAGCACTGAGCCAGGACAGCTAAAGTGGCCTCAAGGTGGATTATTTCTGGCAGTCTGTAAAGGCCCTTACAGTGGCTGAACTAAATTTCTGGACTTTTCCATCCTGTCACTTGTGTACTATAGGTTGAGTCTCCCTTATCTGGAATTCCAAAATATTCCCAAAAACAAAAGTTTTTTCATGGGTGGCTAAGATAGTGTAATTTTTGTTTTCTAATGGTTCAGTGTACACAAACTTTGTTTCATGCACAGAATTATTAAAAATACTGTATAAAATTACCACCAGGCTATGTATATAAGGTGTAAGTGATTTAATTTTGTGTTTAGACTTGGATCCCATCTCCAAGATACCTCATTATGTATGTACATGCAAATACAGGTATTCCAAAATAAATTTTAAAAATTAAAAATCTGAAATCTAAAATAGTTCTTGTCCCAAACATTTCAGATAAGGGAGACTCAACCTGTACTTGGATTGCTTAAGAACTAAAAAGATCTTAAAAGCTTGCATATGTTTTTGGCATTTCTGTTGATTCTAATAAATGGGTTCAGTTCTGCTTTTCATTCTTCTGAATGATAGACATATGAGCAATTCCTAACATGTGAAGTCATAGGCTTTCATGGCCAGCATCCATAGGTTTTTGTGGGTTTTTCGGGCTGTGTGGCCATGTTCTAGAAGAGTTTCTTTCTGACGTTTCGCCAGCATCTTTGGCTGGCATCTTCAGAAAAGATGCCAGCCACAGATGCTGGCGAAACATCAGAAAGAAGCTCTTCTAGAACATGGCCACACAGCCCGAAAAACCCACAAAAACCTAATTCCTAACATGTTTTCCATTTTAGATATGTGGCACTTAAAAATTCAGTTTGTTGAACAGTGAATTGCTCATCTTTTGGCAGAAAATTGTGTAGTGTGTATATTCCTTCCCCAGCTCATCTGTCCACTGGCAATGGACCCAATGCCTTGAAATGCCTAAGAAAAGCTGCATAGGTATTCTGCTAATAAACACTGTAATAACTTATCTTTGTGTCCTTGTTCATAGCCATATTTTCTCCATTCTTTCAGCTGTACTCGCTGAATGACTACAAACCTCCCATTTCAAAGGCAAAAATGACACAGATTACCAAGGCAGCAATCAAGGCTATCAAGGTAGGAGAAGCTGACTATACTGTTTAATTTTTTTAAAAACAACAACAACAACAACCTGGTAGTTGTCCTTGTAATTGCAGTCTGTATCATTTTCTGATCTTCAATTTCTGATGCTTCAGTTTCAGGATTTAAGATAATGTCAGAACCAAATAATAATTCTAATTGTTGTGCAAAATTAATTAAACATTATGTACAAATTAATAAGGAGAGACAGCATGGTATAGTAGTTTGGGTGTTGGATTAGGAACTTGGAGGCCAGGGTTCAGAACAAATCATAATCGTTCAGCCTTAGAGGAAGGCAATGACAAAGAACCCCTTTGAACAAGTCTTGCCAAGAAACCCTTGTGATAGATTCGCCTTGGGGTCACCATAAGTCAGAAAAGACTTGAAGGAACATGACAACAGCAAATGACAGTGGGACCGTACCATCCACGGGCTTGCCATCTGCATGTTTGAGCATCCGCGGATGGGAATCCCTGTTGTCCCTAGTGGTGGTGTGTGCACGTGGCTGCACTAGCATTAGCAACAATGGAACTTGAGGTCTCACATTTTTTCATATCTGCAGGGCGCTCTGGAACAGATCCCCTGTGGATACAAAGGTCTGACTGTAATTTGACATTCTAACATTGATAATGGCATTTCCCTTAATTTGGAACACAGTAAACTTGGACTGTGCTTGGACATTTATAAAGCACTATGCACATGTTCATGCAGTGTAGCACCTCTAGTTTATTCATTAATTGGATCATTGTTTTAAAAAATTAAAAGCTGCAAAATAGAGTATTGTTATAAACATGGGGGTGCATTTAAGCAGCACATGGGGATATTGCAGGGAAGAGGGGCAAATCAATTTACATATTCCTCACATTGTGTCCTTGGGTCACGTGTATTCGTTTTAATATGTGAGGACTGTCTGTTGTTCTTTTGTGCTTTCAAATCTGTTCTGACTTATGGAGACCCTAAGGCACAGGGTTTTCTTGGCAACCTTTTCAGAGGAGGTTTACCATTGCTATCCTCTGAGACTGAGTGTGACTTGCCCAAGGTCACCCAGTGTGTTTCCATGGCAAAGCTGGGATTTGAACCTTGGTCTCCAGAGTCATAATCCAACATCCAAACCACTAATCCATGTTGGCTCTAATATAGCGTTGCATTAATTCCTGTAAACAGCAGGCCACCCACCTCACAGCAGAGCACTGTCTACATATCTGACTGAATTGAGACTAGCATATTAATGTGGAAGTTGTAATAAGAAGAGCAATAATAATAAGATAAGAAGTAATAATAAGATAAGAAGAGCAAACGTTTGCATTACTTTATTTAGTGTAAAAATTACTTTTTGCTTTCTTTTAGTTCTACAAACATGTTGTACAAAGTGTTGAGAAATTCATTCAGAAGGTATGTTATGAATCAAGTTTAAATCTCTAATTGTATCTTTTGAATTTTAAGTGTGTATAAACCTAGATATTTAAAAATAGATATAAATGCATAAGAAAAAATTATGATGAATTTATTCACAGACTGTGCGTAATAGCATCATAGTAAAAATTCCTATTGCATTTCATCCCACTCCTACTGCCACAACTGTGTAAAAATGCTTTATACCCTGAGGCCTGGATATCATTCCATATTGCATCTGAAGAAGTGGGTTTATGTCCACAAAAGCTCACGTTAAAATAAAAAACAACTAATCTTAAGGATGCTGCTACGTTCTTTTCTCCCCTCCCTTCCTCCTTTTTAACTTAAAATATGTAATTCTCATCACAACTGAGAAATAAGTAATTTATATTATGATTCATGTTTGCTTCACTTTGAGTGTTAAATAACACTTTATTTATTAGTTTTAAATGTTTATACAACACGTTTTGGATGAAACCTTCCTAGAGTGACTTCCAGCATTGTTATTGTACAATATGTAAATAGTATGAATTCCATCCAATTCCATTATATGAGGCATCTTCACTCACATAGCTCTCCCCTTCACCTTGCCAGATCTGTTGTGAGCAGCAGTGCTGTAGCAAAATTGTGGAACACTTGAAAGCAGGAAGGGAGAAGAAGGTCCACTGTAGTTTTTGCTCTGTTAACATTTAGATTTCACCCTGTATAAATAAATAAACTTAATGGGCATACTGGAGTAGTTTAGCAAACTGGAATTCAGGAGAATGCCAGGTTCTTGCGGACAAGCCAGCCAGCAAGAGTATGCAATCTGATTCATTTTTGCTGCTTACCATAGACTTTGGGTCTGTGATTTGCCTGTTTTGCTGGGTAAACCTGGAGGGAGTCAACTTTCTGGCTTCTCTCTCTCTCATATATCAGAAAATTAGTTCAGGATAAGTTACCCAATTTGTTGGGAGAAAAACAGGCTGGAGACTCTGTAGCTTGCCAGATTTATATGTCATCCTATGTAAAGGTTGCAAAAGGAAGTGTGCATAAGCATGCTGTTCATAGTTTTTAGGGTAGGAGCCCTGGTTTATTGTTATAGCCCAGTGTAGCCATTATGTATTAGTTATGTTTACTGTCATTTTGGTAGAGGAAATATTCATAGTTTAAAGCATATTTGAGTGACGTTTTTTCAGTAACAACATGAGGGCTTCATTTTAGTTATGCACCACTTGCACTGTCATTGTCATTTAAACTGTAAACACACCCTGAAAAATATCTCTGCTCGATGATGATCAGACTTGTTGGGAGGCTTAAGCTACTGTCATTCCATCCTGTTCAAGATATATATGTGTTTGTGTTTGTGGAGGTAGCTTTAGAGATTCATTTTTAGCACTATAAATAGTAAGGTAGCTAGACAACTTAAAGTGGCTCTAACTGTTTTTCTTACTAGATTTCTGGAAGGCAAAGTACAATGGTCCAGTAGTTCATGCATAAAAATGCTGTATTCTTTCACATTCCTTTGTAGTGTAAACCGGAATACAAGGTGCCAGGCTTGTATGTCATTGACTCCATAGTTCGACAGTCTCGACATCAGTTTGGGCAAGAAAAGGATGTGTTTGCTCCAAGATTTAGCAATAACATCATTAGCACTTTTCAGAATTTATATCGTTGCCCTGGGGATGACAAGGTACAGTAACTTCTACTTGTTTTCCTCAAAAAGTAAACAATTCATTTGTTGAACTTCAGTTTATCTCACTTGAATATTATAACCCACAGATGTAGGTATACGTTTATATAGAGAATTTAGTTTTTACACCTTAGGAATATAGGATTAAAACTTTTGTATACATTTACATTATTTTTACTATTTAATAAATGCCATTGATTATAGTAAAATGTTTGTGCTAATCACTCAGAGGACTTCATTAACATTAATCACAGTAATCTTTTCAACAGAACACCGCAAAAGGGCAGATTGGAGCCGGCCTGGCACCTCAGCAACCACACGCTGCAGCACCAGTCTGCCTTGGAGCCAGCCCAAATAGGAGCAGAAAAGATCCGCTCCTATTTGGGCCGGTAACGTGTGCGTTGTATAAACGCCATGCCCCCAGAGTGGCTTGAAGCCGCCAATGTCTGGTCAGCCTGGGTGGCTTCCAGATGTCTTGGGGGCATGTGGCTGGTCTGTTCTGGCCCATAGTAATACTACCAAAGAAATATAACATTATCCATCTCTCTTAGAGGGAAGGTGGAATATTACATATTGTAGCTGAGCTAATCTCAAGAAAGATCTAAATGTCTTTGAGTTTTAGTGTTAATTCGCTTCTAAGTACTATGATAAAGCAAAAAGGGTAGCATTCTAGGGTTTTTCTTCATTTAACTTGATGGAAGCTTTGGGAATCTATGATACTCCATTATAGGGAGAGAGAATGGATACTGAGTGAAATCGTTTGAGTGTTGCAATGAGTCATGGGATTAAATGAAAATACTATAGTCTAAATGGAGTAGTTCCTTTACTGTGCCACATGGGCTAAGAGTGTTTGACACTACACAGTTACAGCAGTTTGGTCTTAATTTAACTATTTTGACTCAGTTCTAGGAATCCTAGGATTTGGGATCCTGTAAAATTTTGGGGAAAGCATCTCCTTAACCAAAATCATATTCAGAGGCAGAACCTGGCAAAATATACGTGTACACTGACACAGCAACCACAAATCATGAGGGCATTTCTTTCTTTCTTTCTTTCTTTCTTTCTTTCTTTCTTTTTTAAAGGTTTGAGCTGGAAGCACAGGAAAGATGCAGAGCTCTCAGGTCCAGTAGGAAATGTATGTGACCTCTGGTGTTCAGGGAGTTGCCCTACTCTATTTTAAAACATATTGTGGAGGGCAGGAGCATACAGTTGGATCACTCCCTCTTTTCCTCTTCTATACTAATTCATTTAATTAATTTATTTAAATTTGTGAACTAGAAAGACAATGATCACCATTGTATATATTATGGTATAGTATACTATAATATATACTATGGTGATCATAGTAATTCTAGTTCACAAATTTATTCCATAATTTGAAGTGGGATTATAAACAATGGTCTGGAAACTAATCGTGTTGACTGATGTAGAGGTTGTGGCAGATAGTAGTCGTAAAGACCTAAAATGGAGGAGGAAATATATACTCAAGTGAATAAAAAAGAACAAGTTCATAGCATATTCCTCATCATCCAGATATTTTGAAGAACCATTCAAATTTGCCCAACTCAAAAGCTTTACTAAAATATCTATTTAATTTACAATAGTAGAGATTTGTGTGAAGCCAATATTAAATTTGTGTTACCTTTTCTTTACTTTAGAGTAAAATAGTTAGAGTGCTCAATTTATGGCAGAAGAATAATGTGTTCAAAAGTGAAATTATACAGCCTCTACTGGATATGGCAGCAGGAATTCCTCCTCCAGTTGTAACCCCAGTCTTGCCTGGGACAACAGCAACTATGAGTAACAATACACCAGGTAACAGAGAATGTGTTTATATAACTTTGTGTTGACTTTAATGGCTTGAATTTAATAAGGCAACCTTTCCCCTTTAAGGGCCGAGGGACTTCAGCTCCCAGAAGCCTCAGCCATGTTGGCCAATAGTCCCATGTTGGCCAATAGCTCCTGGGATTCTGGGAGCTGAAGTCCCTCGGCCCTTAAAGGGGAAAGGTTGCCTACCCCTGTAATAGGGGAAGATGTGTTACTTGTGCAGAATACTTTTGTTGCAGTTGTTCATTGTCTCCTGGTGCCTGCTTTATATTTACAAATGTTTAGCTGCTTCTACTTGATCTAATATTTTGATATTTTAGTTTTGGTATTTTGATAAGTATTTATGATTAAATTAAAGCAAGAGACAAATGTATTATTATCCAGTATTAACTATCTATTGGTAGAAAATGGACTGTTGTCAGGCGAGTAAGCAACTTTATCAAATGAGAAAGCCATGGCAATAAAGTATTTAGTGAAAGTTAATAAGTATGACACCATTTGTACATTAAGGAAAGTTGCATGTTTTCATGGAGCAGGGCTCTGCTTGGATTTATGGTCAAAAGGCCCCAAATCACTCTGATTTTTTCTTTTAATGGAGGCTTTGGAGGCTTTTGGAGGACTGCTGAGGGCTTCAGCAGCCACAGAATTAGAGCCCAGGAGCCTCACTTTGCCCACCCCTTTTCTAGGAGGATAAATGACAGGAAATAGCTAGGGAAAGTAAACTCTTTTTCCTTGGGTGTTGAGTAAGCATATTCTGTGTCCATAGCAATATGCCTATGCCCAACACAGCATTTTTTGAAGTTGAGTTATGGAATATGTGCACACCATTACGTTCAGCTTCCAAACGATATACAGTCTGCCCTCCACATTCATGGGGGTTAGGGGAACAAGACCTCTGCGAATGTGAAAAACCCGCGAATAACCTACCCTCCCATGGCAGCCATTTCCAGGGTGGGAGAGCAAATTTGCAAGTGTCAAAGCCACAAAAGTGTGGGGACAACTTTAGTTATTTAGACAAATAGTGTTCACTAGGTTGGAGAGGGGAGATTTGAATCCATACCGTTAAGCTTTTGTTTAGTCATGTGTTTGGAAGTATATTTGAGGATGGTGTGGTTTTGGGCGTTCATTCTGCTTTTATTACAATAAAAGATGATTGGTGGGTTGCAATTCTGGACTGAAATTGGAGTATATTCCCAAAAGAAGAATCATGATTCTTCTTTTTTAGGAGAACATAATACG